TGGTGGGGGGGGGGGGGGGTATATTAGGCAGCAAGTGAACATTTTGTGCCTTGGGGACAGGAAAAAGCTCTTTTACTTACCTGATTCCCACTTCCCCAGAAATCAATGCTCTTCTCTTCTCTCCTTCTGCTCCGGCTGCAGACTATCCCTCGATGTCCTTGCGTACAATGCGGGACTAAGGAGCCTGCATTGTACTTGGTGATGTCAACAATCAGTAGACCAATGAAGCAAAGGGGAGAAAAGGCTATCTGGAATGGTCTAGCAGTCTAGAGAGCCGGTGCTGGCAGGGATTAGGTAAGTAAAACAGCTTTTTCATGTCCCCCCTCTAGATAGGCAGAGCCAGCTGTCAATCCCGCAGCTGGGTGGATCTCGACAGTAATGTCGGCATCCGTCCCGGCTGTGGCGTCTCAGTATACCGCGAGCTGTAGCTCACAGTATACTGAGCTTAGGGTGACAAGAGAACGCTAATTTGTGTCCTCCCGTTACCCTAAGGAGAACTATGGGGAAAAGCCCTGACCCCATAGTTCTCCTTTAAACCTTGCAGTGCAGAGGCAGTCCCACTGCAAGGGAAAATCTATGTATCCTGCTCAGAAAAATACTTACCTTTCTCCTCGTTCCAGCTATTTTCACTATATGGCCCTTTGCCGCCAGGTCCTGTTCTTACTGCATATGCTTGCCATGGCCCCATTCATTCCTAGATGTGAGCCACACTCAATGGCTGCTATAGGTCATGCGTACGTACTACTAGGTACAGATGTCCTTTAAAATTATTGGACCTAGTGACGTAGCATAACAGCCAAACAACTAGCATTTTCAGAAGGAGGTCAGAAATGGCGCGATCCACTGGATTCAGGGACTTCTGAGCCACTGCCATGGAACAAGTATAATGTTAAGGAATTTAGAAGTTTAGACCTTTATTTGCTACATGCTGGTTCTGGATCCATGACTCAGAAGCATTTAAGAAAGATGCAGCCAAGCAATTGGCATTTCAAAAATGAGGCCAGGAATGGAATCCCAATACATGCAAGTTTCATTTATTTGGTTTTTTTTTTGGTTTTTTTTTGGGGGGGGGGCAGAATTTTACATCTAATACTGTGAATTATATATGACAGGATATCCATATTCCACACCTCAGCTTTTCCTCAGTCAGTAGGACAAATGAGATATCTTCCATCATAACAGATCATCTTTAATAGCTTGAATCCAGTGGCCTCATTTGGGAGATAACAGGAAGTATGACAAATACTGCCCATTAACCATTCAGTTAAGATGTTCAACCAAGGCATAAGTATATACTGTATGTTTATAGATGGGTGGAATGGATGTATCACCTATGAATTATTTACAGTGCAAATACAGCACAAAGCATTCCAACAATACCATGGCTTTCAGCTTCATTGGCATTCATGCCCTGGCATTTTTTTTTAAATCCTGAAATGTTTTAGCAGCTCTGGTTCATTTTAACCTCTATAATGAATATACTTGTTTTTAAAATGTTCAACACACACACCCATCGCGCCATGGCACTCGGGCGGTAGTCACCACCCTCTCAGTCTTCTACTCTTCCTTTCTTCTCTCTTCTCTTTAACTCCCACTACCTTATTCTACCCCTCTACTCCCTCTTTCTTTCCCTTTCCAGACCCTCCCCCCCCCCGGTTGGTTAATCCTACCACCATTCAAATTCTTTGAGGCAAAAGCCTTACAAAGTAAGCATGGTCTGAGAAGATGGCTAGTAAGGGACTCACGTCAGGCCGTGTGGCAATGTCCCCACAGGGGGGCTTAGGGAGAAAGTAGGGACCACACATGGAAAAATAAAAAAGGGGTATTGCCCAACACCCAAGTCAGGTGAGTTCCCCAACATCAGGGACGAATGTTGGGAAGAAGTTCTGATAACTGTCATGTATATGACCAGTAAGTTCCTACATTTTCATAATGTTGGAGGCTGATTGGAGGCAGTGGCTAGGATTGGAAGCATTGGTCAGGATTAAAAGCAGTGGCCAGGATTGAGAACATTGGCCAGGCTTGAGAGCATTGGCCAGGATTGAGAACATTGGCCAGTATTGGAAGCATTGGCCAGGATTGAGAATATTGGCCAGTATTGGAAGCATTGGTCAGGATTAAAAGCATTAGCCAGGATTGAGAACATTGGCCAGGACTTAGAACATTGGCCAGGATTGAGAACATTGGCCAGGAATGAGAACATTGGCCAGGATTGAGAACATTGGCCAGTATTGAGAACATTGGCCAGTATTGAAAGCATTGGTCAGGATTAAAAGCATTAGCCAGGATTGGAAGCATTGGCAAGGATTATAAGCATTGGCCAGGAGTTGTAACACTGGCTAGGATTTGGGGGCATGACCAGGCCTGGGAGCATTGGCCAGGACCAGAAACATTGTAAGGATTAGGAGGAGGAGATCATTGCAAGTTACACACTTTATTTGCTCTCACACACTCAACCACAAGTGAAGAAATCTGACAAAGGTAAAATTGTGGTCCCAAACCCAGCAAACAGAGTATTTCAGAAATGTTTTGGTATCATAGTACAGGGGGTTATAAAACATGGTTATATATTTTATGTATATACTTTACTACCTAGAATACTCATGAATAGCATTAGTCACAGAAAGGACACAAACATTTAATACAGCTTGACCTAGCGTGACTGAATGCAGATAAACTTCTAGAAATAATTAACCTGGCAGATCAATTTACAGTGCGCGTCCTGGGTCAGCATCCCATACATTTAATGATACTTTATAGTGTAAACAATGTTATATGGAATGTTTTTGTGCAACATTATAGCCTGTTGTGCAATTTAGACCATAACAGAACAAGGTGATTGGAAATGATGGTTTATTGCGGCAGAGCTCCAATTAGTTATGGCTTTTCTGAGAAGTAAATGTGGAAACACATTTGTTTAACCTTCAAAACACTCTTACACATTTTATGATATTGCAAAATTTTACAGATTTACCGATTTTACCTTTGTTTTAAGTGTGAACAGGTAAATAGAGGGAGATTTACATACCAAATAAGGTTAAAGTGAACCTTTGTCCATGGAGTGTCAAAGCAACAGATTCACTTAAAGCGGAACCTTTACCCATATCATTAAAATACCAACAAACACACAAGAAATGTTTCGTAATGACAATCTCCAAACACAAACTTCTAAATAATTGCCGGCTTTATACTCTTTCTATACCTTATTTCTCTTTTCTTCCCCAGTCTTCGGACAGTGACCATGTTTACTAAGGGCAGATTACTAGCTCTCCTTTTACTTCCTGGATTTTTGGCACATGTGACTAGACATGTGACTAGGACATGTGACCATACGCATCATCTCAGGGGAGGCAAATGCCTTTCCCTGAGATCTCATGAGATTACAGATGAGATTTTTCAGCAATGCTCTCCTGATGACAAGGCAATGCCGGTGTGCACTGGGTTGGCAAACGGAAATAATTTGCACTTTCAAAGCAGGAAGTGAATGTTCTGCAAGTGTAAGTATTTCACAATCACAGCATTTTACACTGGACATGTCTATGTTATTATTAATCATCATACATAGAGGGATGCATTGGTATATTTTGATTTTTGAGTGTAAAGGTCCGTTTTAACTGCTGCTGCCTTCACCAGCTTTTTATACTTCCCTCTCTTTAGATACCAAGGCCATCAGGAGTGAAGAAAGTTAGCTGGGTGTGAGTACCAAGTTACTTGGAGCTTTCACAGGTCTCTCCCCATCTCCATGTGACAGCATTCAACTTCTTGACATTTTTTTTATATTTCTCAGGGTCTCTTTTGGTGGGTTCTCTGTTCTTGGGTTCCTGGGTCTACACACCTGGTGTGGCCATTATGAGTAGACCCGCTGACCCTGTCACTAGCCCTGTTGGATTTTCATTTATTATTATTATACAGGATTTATATTTCGCCAACAGTTTTTCAGAGCGCTTTACAATATAAAGAGGACAATACAGTTACAATACAAATCAAGACGTTAAGGAGGGTTCTATTAGATTATTAAGAAGGCAACAGAAGACTCAGAGATCGGCAAAGACAGACAAAACTCAATGGACAGTAGCCGAGGTGGATAATATGGTAGGGGGATTTTGCAGTATGACTATGCAAGGCATATGAAGCCAAGGGCTGGCTCAGCTTATCAAGTTCCACCTACAAATAAAATATAATTTTTCGGTGGGATGACCCTTCAACTTCAGCACATTTTTTTATGAAGGGTCTAGGTAAAAGTATGAGCTCAGCTATGTGTTTTGAGTGATTAAAAACTAGAATTCAGAAACTGTAATCCCTTACAGTCGGACATTTGAACAAAAGCACATCAAGTGCTTTAACTCCAAATAACAGTAAATCTCCTTATATGGTGCATTAGGTGCTCAGCGCCAGCAGAGAACTGTGATAATCTGTCCTGGTACATAGTATTCATAAAGGTTTAGGAGTGTCTGACTAATTCTGGTCTCTAACAAGCTCCAACCCACTAACCAAGGGAATTAAGAGACATTTCAAATTCAACAGGATGATGCACTGGGCAAATAACCATTTATCTGACTCTGCTTTCTCTCTGGCAGCAAAACTAATGTAACATGTCTATTTTTTTTATATAGCTTGTGTTTGCAAATTGTGGCCAAAGTTAGACACTGCGCACAATGTACTCACCCATGGACTTTCACACTTAAAGTAAATATATATATAAGCCCAAGAGCAACAATGTAATATATTCCTGTTTACCAGTCCTTAGATGCAGTGGCTGCATTCGTTTTCTATTTTAAGGCCAAGTGCACAAAATTACCCTTTGATCCATCCTTGTCATTTCCAGTGGATTGAAATACTTAGAATGTTACCAGCTTTCTCAGCTATCATATTGTAAAGTGCTGTGCAGACTGTTGGCGCTATAAAAAATCCTTTATAATAATAATAATCATCTGTGAACTACAAAAACTAAAATATTTTGGAGGGAGAAGACTAAAAAGTGTTGATTGTTGTCAACTATATTTGCCAGCATACTGGATAATGTATCGCTTTTCCCAATTGAAAAATTGAAACATCTCCACTTCCTACCCACTAATGGAACATCTTTGGTGAAAAAAATGTCTCTGTGTGTTGCTGGTGTGTTAGTTCCGAATAGCCAAAAGCAAACTCCTCTTCTCCCATTGTTACTGATAAAAGATCTATCAATGGGCAGTCATACAATGAGTCATACCCATTGGATCATATAAAGATGGATGATATTAAAGGGTAACTCCACTTTTCCAGGTGCATTTGAGAAAATGGAATTACCCCATCCAATCTGGCCCATTCTGGTCAGGTGACCACGCTGAGCAATAGGTGCGAGCGAAATTCAAAATACATAGCACATGGCTGCACTAGACGGCAGTACGGGGTACAGATAGTACACCCGCACTGACAAAGGGGAAGAGCATTCGCCCAAAGGTAAGTATAGCGTGGGAGTAGAGGGGGCCAGATTGGAGGGGGTAATTCCATTTTACCCAAATACACCTGGGAAAGCGGAATGACCCTTTACATTTGCCACATTAGCTAAGCAGAGATGAGCCTCAGGCAGTCTAGAGTAATAACAACAACCAAGATGATTTCTGACTGCTGGTTCTGGGTTACTGCGGAATGTTCTCTGCCTTATTCAATAAAGCTCAATGGGTTGGTGATTTGTAGTGATTACTGTATAAACTTACCCCAGTCCAATAGCCAGCAGGTGGGATAATAGCAAGGAGGGAAGGAAAACTTTTAAAAATTCTGCGGAGAAAATCCCACCCTTCTTCATGACACTTGTGTTTCTCATGCTCAGAGCAGAGCTACGCTTCGGATGTTTGAAGACAAATTCCCTGGACGAAGAAGAAATGGTCATTAAATTGTATGTAAACCAAACTATATTTTTCAGTGTGCATCATGTATACCGTTTTCTTCATCAAATCGTTTTTTCTTAAAATGTTTTACTTGGATATCCTGCCAATAACAGAACTTCCTGTTGCAGGCTGACAACACTTAGCTGCTGCCTTGTAATTAGCAGCATCAGTGTCAGCCCGATCTGCGCACTCCTACCGTTGGCCATTGGGCTGCCCATCTGATCCATCCGGCCCAAGACCTTAAGTAGTACACAAGACAGGCTGCAACAGGAAGTGCCATACTTGGCAGGGTCTCTAGATTATAAACTTAACAAAAAGAATTTGCTTCAGAAAACTGCATACATTGAGGTGCTGCTGCTGATAAGATCTCCAAATAAACCTTGCAGTAGATTCACAAAAATTGATTTGCCTAACAAAACTATATACAGTAAGGCATGATGCCAAACATACTGAAAAATAGATCTAGGGTTTACTTACGATTTAACAAATGATAAATAAAACAATAGAACAGGTATGTATCGATTAAAAAAAATGTTTATGCAGGTCCCATTTGCTGCCCTGCCTTTTACAATTCTGTATATTGTCTTGTTATTTCTATGCTTCTATGCCCCATGTGGTAGGGAGGGGGTTCTAATGGCAACCATAGAAGACCAAAATACACCTATATTGACAGATGTCAATATAGGGCTACTATTACTGGCCTCATTCTTCAATGCTAGTTACCTGGTAGTGTCTGGCATCAATACTTTTAAAGTGAACTTGCAACCAGTCCATGGACATTCCAGTATTTACACAGACTTCACAAGCAATGAGCTTTAGAAACATGTCCTCAATGACCTCTGTAGCTGCATGCACTGTGTAAGCAATTAGTGTTGTGCACAGCAAAAGCATTGAAGTCATTAAAGAGAAGCTTCATCCTACTACCTCCCTTCCTCTCAGCAGCAGTACTACCGTGTGTGTGATGATGGCATTTTTTGGTCATCATCTCTGAATAAACTGAAGCAAGCATAGTGGTGCAGTGCTGCCCTTAGTGCTACGTCCTGGTGCTAAGCCCTATTCATTGACATTTATCTTCACTACTAACCCTGGAGTGAGTGGAGATTCTAAATCCCCATGTCATTTCTTAATGTCCAAAACATCTGGAAGCAGCCAGGGTCACAAGGCAAGGTGGAGACCTTCTGCCATATTCTTTCTAAAGGGTGTCACCTGAGAAATGTTTCCCGTCTTGCTTCATGACAGGAATGGGACAACATGTACAGTATGGATTCTGTACATACTTCTGTTTTATGGAGACGATCACCAGGGAGCCAATCAGGGAACAGAACATCAGCAATAAGGTTTGTATACACTAGGAATGCAACGCTACCGGGTCGGTATCGAGTACCAATATTTTTTTTTTTCAATACTCACCGATACCGAATACCTATACCAGAAGTTCCATTAAGGAAGTCAGGCGGCGTGTAATGACTCGCCGCCTGGCTTCCTGATTAGCCGGGAAGCCGAAATACTCTGCATTGGCACCGATACTAGTATCGGTATCTATGGATACACATGCTTGCCACTTTCAGCAAGACCATATCTGCAGGTCGTATAAGCCTACAGGGGGCCTTAAAAAGCATGGGATTTGGAGTCACAGTCTGGTAAGCACTGCTGTAGGTCAATATCTAGTTTAAATTCACAAACGTATATTTGAAAGTTATCTGCTGTCAAAAATTAAAAATAAATCTGTATTTTTATACTGAATTTCTATAGGCTCTATCCCACTCCTTAAAAAACATATCCATCTAGAAGATTGTAAACTTACTTATTGAAGATGCCCATAGGACGGACTTCCTCAAAATATTCACTTGTATCACCACTCTAACTAAGCCCTCCAACTGAACTACAACTTGCTGTCTGAACAATGTAACATCATCATTATTTGCTGGAAGCAATGCAGGATGGGATATGTAGTGTTTAAAACATTGAGATTGCATCACATCAAGCAGCAAAGAAAGAGATGGGAATCCCCGAAGTTGATGAAAGTGATGGGCAGACGGAAGGCAGCACTTACTACATGAAAGGGATGTTTTCAAGTAAGCTTTGATTGCATTATCAAAAACAACTCTAGTATGTATTCCTATGACAATGCTGATGTTATAACAGTATAGTATATGCTGGGACTTTACAACTCCTTTAATGTCAGCCTCTTTTATGTATATGAATTCAGTGTCAGCTGTCCTGATTAATGTCTCCAAGAAAAAAAGACAATAATCTTACTTGGGAGGGATATTTTCAGGCCTGCTGGACCAATCCCAGATCCAGTCGGAATTCTTCTTCAATAGGTTTTCCAGCTCTTTCCTCCGTTCAATATAATCTTCCTCTGACTGTCACAGGAAGAAAGAATTACCAGACAGTTAATACCTATTATACACAGGTGATCTTCAATAAGCATTGACATACACTGTTTTATATCAGAGATCCATCCTTGCACTATCTAGCACTAGTATACAGGATCAGAGCTATGACAATGAGCCCTGACCAATAGCACAGAGGTAGGCAACCTCGGCACTCCAGCTGTTGTGGAACTACAAGTCCCATGAGGCATTGCAAAATTCTGCCAGCCAAAGGCATGACAGTATTTGTGGTTTCTCCACAGTTGGAGTGCCAAGGTTGCCCACCAATGGAATACAGCTTGTGGTCCTGGCTCCATCCCATGTTGCAGCAGCATTGCAGAAAACCCTCTGATGAAGAAATTCAGTCCTTCCCGAATAGCAGCAGCAGCAGTGTTCACTTCTGAAAATGAAAGCTGGTCATATACTAGAAAAAAGTTACTAGAAAAAAAAAACTGCTATTGGAACATTTGTTCGATTTTCTAATAGTTATTGGAGTTAGAGAGACAATTGTTTTCCACTGTTGTGACAAAAACAAAATGAAGGAGCAGGATGGAAAGTTTTTCTCAAATCTCACAGCGAATGTGGTTTTTATTCAGGAAACTCCATTCATTCCAAAATCAAATGTTAAAACGACATTCGTCAAGTCTCTGATGACATTATCGAATGTTGAAGATATTTCTCATATTAAAATATACCAGTGAATGGACCGCTTAAGGGGGAATTCCCCCTTTAAAAATAAATAAATGAATGAACACTTCATAAAAGAAAAACATGTGCATTTATTGTTTTTTGCATAGGAGCTAGTAAATGATGTGTCTCCTGCAGACTTCTCCCCCCATCTCCCCCCTCCTGTCCATGTACAAGATACGAGGTATGGACATTCAGGAACATGGATGAGATGAAGAATGAATGCACTACAAGTGCTTGTAATCCACTGAGAACTCCAAGGTCCCCTGGCACTGTAGCTAATGGGACTTGCAGTTTTGCCATTCACAGATCCTGTATGGCTCCACACACACGGCCGCGCCAGATTCAAACAACAGCAGCAGCCTACAGGGTGAAAGAACCCTGCAATTCAGGTAAGGGGGGGGGGGGGTTGGGTTTAGGGTTGCAATGTGACCATGTTTTTTATTTTACACTCTGGTTATGGGCGCAACATGAAATATGGTCAGAAAAGTAAACATAGCCTTTAAGGTGACAGCACCGCACTTGTAATCCATTCATTCTTCCCCCGTCCATGTTACTAAATGTCCATAGCTCAGTATGGACAGGGATTGGAGGAAGAGTCTGCAGGAGCCAGAGCATTGCACCCGTGATCTACTGATCGAGGTTGCAATGCTTTACTGGCTCCAATGCAGAAAAATAACAAATGCATATGTTCTGATTCATGAAGAAGTGTGCATTTCTTGTTTTGTTTCCTAAAAGATTGAATTTCCCTTCAGAGCAGTAAAACGTAGGGACATGTGTAGGTATTGCAGAGATGTAGTTGCATATGTTTTGTTTCATTGTGCCCTGACATACACAAATAAGAAACCAAAGGGAACATGTACAATACTTTCCACATCTCATCTGATACCCTGGACCCAGTGTTCTGTGAATGTTTAACCTAAAGTGTAATTCCACTTTCACAACTAAACTGGCATATCACCTATTTTCATATTTGTGACATGTTCCCATTCACATTGAATAACATTAAAAAAAAATGCTTCTTGCAGTTTCAATTGCCTTTACTTGGGTTAGGGTTTCTTGGCTTCTTAAAGGTTAACATTTATACCTGCTTTTCCTTCTTTGCAATGATAGGAGTGGCTGTGGGGGAGGGGGGGTTAAAGTTTTACAACCCTGGCTTCTGCATTGTATGCTAATTTAGTTGATGAGAGAAACACAATCCACAAATTTCAGTCCTAAGTCTTTCTATTAGGAATGCACCAATACCATTCCTTCGGTATCGAGTACGAGTACCGATATTTTTTTTTTCCGGTACTCGCCGATACCGAATACTAATACCGGAAGTCCCATTAAGGAAGCCAAGCTGCATGTAATGACTCGCTGCCCAGCCTGGGCATGGAGTCGGCTTTCTGGCCAATCAGGAAGCGGGGGGGCAGGTAATAATTTGCCGCCTGGCTTCCTGATTGGCCAGGTACCCGAGTTATTACACGCCACTTGGCTTCCTAATTGGCCAGGAAGCCGGCTCCATGCTACCTCGTCACCAAGTACTCGAGTACTCGCCCAAATATTTGGTATCTGCACTGGTACCGATACTAGTATCGGTATCGGTGCATCCCTACTTTCTTTTTGTTTATGTCTGGCCTGGGAGGGAGCACTTGGATGTCTCAGCTACTCACTGCTCAGCGCCATCTTGAGCAGGCTCCACCCCCCAAATCCCTACTTTCTATAAGGACACATCACTGCAAAGGTGCTCAGATTTTTTATATAATATTTTCCGGTATGCTGTGTCGGAAACTGATAACAAACATATAGAGAGGTTTCCTCCAATTTGACAGCTTAGACAAGCGTGGGCCAACTCTGCCATCAAATGTACCATTCTATAATGCATTCATTAACCACTCGCTCTAACAGCGGGCCGACCCTCATTATTGCGCCCTGTGTATCTGATTTCATGTACATTAGCGTGCAATTTTTCATACTGTGCACTTAACACACATGTTTTTGATGTTGAACAGTAAAGAGGTTTAATGACATTATACCAATGTTTGTCTTTGCATTAACGAAGTACAAGATAAGAATATAAAGATTTATAGCTGCAGGCCACATGGGGCCAAGATTAGTCAGCAAAGGTGAGGCTGGAGAATGGCTGCGGCCAGCTGCCGGTGACACCTGTTTCTCCAGAACGTTATTTGCACAGCGGCTGCAGCAAACAAGAAGTGGAGCTTCCACCGCAAGCTACAAGCTCCGGACTCAGCTGACTCGAATGGATTTGTATGCGTGGGCTACATAAAGTTAAAGGATAAATGGATAGGCAGATAGTTAGATGACACGTAGTTTTAATCAACTGTAAATTAATCATATATATGTACCATACTGCATCTGAAACTTTGTTACAGAGCAGGGGTAGGTAACCCTGACCCTTCAGCTGTGGAATCTTGCAATGGCTTATGTGACTTGTACTTCCACAACAGCTGGAGGGCCGAAGTTTGGCTACCCCTGTTATAGAGTAATCTATGAAAGGAGTTGATTCACCATGACAATATATAAAGTTTATCAGGTCTCCACTGGAATTACCTGTGAGCTGCTCTTTTCTTTGCTGCCCTGGGTTTCACTGTCGCTTAGTCTCTGGATGCTCTGGGGGGTCTGAGATCGAGGGGGGCTTCAAAAGGCAAGACAAAGGAACAAACAGATCAGATCAGTGGATTCTTTTGTAAGATTATGCAGCTTTGGTGCAGTTACACTTAGGCTCATTTCACACCTAACCGTTGAGGTGCATTGTGGTAATGTGTTAACATGTGCTGCATTAAGCAAGGGCTGACAATGCACCTCAATGGCCCAGAAATCTGACCTGCACTATATTTGGCAGTGCAGCCCAATGTCTTGGCAAGGTGTGTTGAATTGCCACTCAAAGTGAATGGCACTGCATCTCACCATTGCAAGTAGCATGCAGTACCGTGCGTTCCCACAAGACAAGATTGTGAATGGCGCCTTTTACAGTAGCCGCCCACATCCATACCCGTTGCCAGTATTATATCTGATTCAGTGACATATCGCTCACTAGATTGCTTGCCAACATGTTCCTGGCCAGGCCCCAACATGTACTCTAAACTCCCATCCTTTTTTATAAAATTTCTCTATATATATATATACACACACTAAATTTGCAAAAAGTATTGGGACACCCCTCCAAATCATTGGATTCAGGTGTTTCCGTGAAATTTCCTTGCTACTATATATTCCACTGTCACCTGTTAGCGGTATTATAACAAAGTGGAAGCAACTGGGAACAACAGCAACTCAGCCACGAAGCGGTAATCCACGTAAAATGACAGAGCGGGGTCAGCGCATGCTAAAGTGCATAGTGTGCAAAAGTCGCCAACTGTCTGCAGAGTCAATAGCTACAGACCTCCAAACTTCTTGTGGCCTTCAGATTGACACAACAACAGTGCGTAGAGAGCTTCATGGAATGGGTTTCCATGGCCGAGCAGCTGCATCCAAGCCTTACATCACCAACTGCAATGCAAAGTGTCGGATGCAGTGGTGTAAAGCACGCCGCCACTGGACTCTAGAGAAGTGGAGACGTGTTCTCTGGAGTGAGGAATCACGCTTCTCTGTCTGGCAATCCGATGGACGTGTCTTGGTTTGGCGGTTGCCAGGAGAACTGCATTGTGCCAAGTGTAAAGTTTGGTGGAGGGGGGGATTATGGTGTGGGCTTGTATTTCAGGGGTTGGGCTTGGCCCCTTAGTTCCAGTGAAGGGAACTCTTAAGGCATCAGCATACCAAGACATTTTGGACAATTTCATGCTCCCAACTTTGTGGGAACAGTTTGGGGATGGCACCTTCCTGTTCCAACATGACTGCGCACCAGTGCACAAAGCAAGAGAAGCCCAGTGACAGAGTATTCTATACCCTATGGAGTGGGTGCAATTGGAGTCCCTGGGACCTTTCCTAATGACCTTATTATGTATGCTGACCCATGTTCCCTGTCTATTGCAGCCAACATTTATAGTATGGGCAAAAACAGGCTGTGTGCACTCGCAAATGTATAAAAAATGGACATCACATCAGGTAGGAAAGATGCAGGGGTAAATATGATTCTCTTTTGCACATGTTCAATAGGCCTGAAGATGTGAGTCTATCCAATAGTCAGTATTCGGCAACCATCAGCTGTCATAGGTATCTGAAACCTTATTTGATAAAAGAAGCATTGTACAAAACCCACAACAACCAATCAGAACCCACCTTGCACTGGTATAATTTCACTAAAGTGAATTCCGGTTATTATGAGTGCTTGCACTGGTAAGACTTCACTAACGTGACTTCAGATTGGTTACATAATGGGTTTTTGCACTTTGTTCCATGCACCGTATAGTGAATAATCCTAAAAAGCAGCCACATCACTCTAAATCCTAAGTCGTGGCCCAGGAACTAAGGCAATCGATGAATATTATTTACCTGTCACAGTGTGAACTTTCTCTAGAGCTGCTTCGTCCGGACTCATGCTGGGCATCCAGTAGTATTTTTTCCATGTCGCCATTGTGAATGGAGATCGAGGGTGGCACTTGCTCTTGACCCACCAGTGGTGCTATTCCGACATGACCGTTGTTGCTGAAATGTAGCTCTACCCAGGAACCTACAAGCCGGGAGATGGGGAAAATGTTATTGGGCAAGAAAAAAAAAATGACAGAACTTAAAGAGTGACTAAAGACAGTAGATTAATAAGGTAATCAGATCATTAGCAAATTGATAAATACTCATTTAAACATACACTGGATATGTATTCAAAACTGCTATCTGCTATCAAATGAAAGCCCTGTCTGCCCCAAGAAAAATGATGTATAGCATTGGGTTAAAAAAGCTAAACGACATAAGGTGAGAACATCACTGTAATGAAAAAAAACAACACTGTGGGACCCAAGTGTGTTAGGGCTCATGCGTGCATGAGCGGCCGCACAATAGTCTACGTTCAGATCCGTAATGCATACTTTTTTTTATAGATCTAGACGCAGCTGTATGATATGCTATGGGCCCATGCACACAGCGCCGTAATAAAGTAGGACACTTTGCACTGCGTTCTCGTCTGTAGATTTCACTATATGCATGAAAAGATTTGTATAACGCATAAATGAAAATAAACTAGCATCCTAGCATTGAAGGGCGGTAGATCTAGCATCCTATATCTTAGGAATAAAGGACACATGTTGACACTGAATGAGCCATCCCTGGGCCACCACAAATGCGCAGAATGACTTTGGCTAGTCATTCATAAATGACTGAAGGCCGGTCATTCTGGGAATTTGCCGCCAAGGAATGACTCATTCAGGGTCAACAAGTGAACATCAATGGTGTGTAATCAGAGGCTACAGATTGCAGATATTGACATTGCCAATAGGCTTAAATAGGCCTGTACACTTGTGTGCATGTAAACATTACACAAACGTTACATGCTTACAGCGTACGGACAACATTTTAAAGTGTATTTCCACTTTTGCAGTCAAATTTAGGAAAACCCCTCTATATGCTTGTTATGTGTTCCCATTCACACAGCATAATGAACAATAACGTCTAAAAAAAAAATTCTTACCTTTTAGATGTTTTGTTAAAGGGGTTCTAAACCCTCCGTTTTTTTTGCCTATATCTACTGCTAGCAAGCAGTAGATATAGGCAAAAAGTTAAAAAAAAAAAAAACCCCGCTTTAACAGCAGTTTAAATTTATCTCGTTATGGCCGCGCTCTGCCGCCCGAGAATCCGAAACTGCTCGGGCGGCCGCAAAGCAGCTTGGGATGGGCACATGCGCAGTTCGAATTTTCGGCCGGGAGACGAGCAGAGATGCAAGGTAAGTCTATGGACGCGTGCACCGATCCCACGTGCAGACACCGCGGGATCGGAAGTGCCTGCAGGGACAGAGGAGTCAGCGCTGGATGGGAGAGCCGCCGCACCGCTGGAGGGACAGATGAAAACATCAGCAAAGAAGAAGAAGAACGGATTAAGAGACATCATTTAAGGTACGTGCTGACATTAACATGGGTGGGAGGGAAAACTTTTGTTGACTTTAATGTCACTTTAAATCAGGAAAGATGGCTGATTCCAGGTTTTTATTAGCCCTTTGACAGCGATCTGTCCTTATAGAAGGACTTGGGACTGAAATTCTCTCATTAACTTCATTAACATACAATGGACAAGCCACCTCTGAAAGGACAAGACTCCTCGCCCCTCCCTCCTAACATTTAAAAGAAATAGAAGCAAGAAGAAATAAACCCTTAACCCCTAAAACCTTAACCCAAGCAAAAGCAATTTGAAATAAAAGCATTTTTTTTTTTTTTTTTTAAGCTTATGCTATGTGAATGGGAACATGTAACAGATATAAAATAGGTGTTATCCCAATTTGGCTGTGAAAGTGAAAATACGCCTTAAGCAGGATCTTGCTGCCAACAAGATCCTTGGTTTTCGGATGAGTATTGCCATGCGCCAGTGTGCTTGAGCCTTTATAGGAAAAAAAAAAAAGGCCCTGGGACTTAAATTGTATTTCCACTTTTGCAGCCAAATTAGGATAACACCGACTTTATATTTGTCACATTTATATTATTATATTTCTAAAAGTTGCAGCTTACTTTTTTTTAGATGCTGTTTCTGCTATTTCCAGAACTGAACACTCCTGCTTAGTTCTCAGGCTAAAGTCACACCTCCTTACTTCAACCTGTCCGCCTATCTCCCACTGTGACTGCCTTTCAGTGATCACTAAAGACTCATCTCTTTAGGGAGGCCTATCCCACCTCATCCTAACCACTGAACTCCTTCTCAAACAATTCATCCCCACACAGCCACCTCCTCATGTATCACTTGCCCTCCCCTCTTAGATTGTAAGCCCTCAGGGGCAGGGCCCACCTTACCATCTTGTCTTGAATTGTATAGTAATTACAATGTCTTCCCTATATTGCTTTTATCTCTAGAATGGCACACTGTTTGCGCTATATAAATCCTGTATAATAATAATAATAATAGGTAATTGAGCTGGTGAGCTGTTTTCATTCGTTGCGCGACTGTTCTCTGAAAACCGCGTGGTTATCGTGCAGTTTTCAATGCATAGACATGTCTGTCGTACCCAAACCACGCGACAACCGCCCAAAAATAGCTCCTGCACCTTTTTGTGCGACAGGCGATTTAGTCCGCGCAACAAACCGCAAAGGTGTGAACAGCCTCCGGTGAATTCAATGCGAATCTGTGTTTTGCGGGGTATTGTGCGACTCAATCCGCGTGATAAATCGCCTAGCCTCACTGTCTGGGGACATGGTAGAAGGAGTTTTGTTTCAAATAATTACACTGTCTGTACTGTGCTGGCAGATTTCATTCTAAACCAGATAAGCAGGACTGTCTGTCCTTTCAAAGGGTTAAAAGCTCTGAAGACACTGTATGTTAATGAGGCGACGCTCAGTCTGTTCTTTGTCTTTCTAAAGGTGCCCATACACTGCACGATTATCGTACGATAATCGTATGCGATCGGTTTTTCGTACGATAATCGAGCAGTGTGAACGGAGACGTGCGACCGTTTCTACTGTACGGTCGCACGTCTTCTGTCGAACCAGCATGTTCGAAAACCAGCCGGGAATCGTACGATTCTCGGCTGGTTAGAACGGTGCTCGGAAGACAAATGCCGAATGGGCCGGTGTGCGCACACTGCCCGTTCAGCATTGCGGTCATCGGAAGCCCGCCCCTCAGGGGGGCGGGCTTGCGATGATCGAGAGTGTGATCTGCCTGTCCAAGATAGGCAGATCGTACGTTTTTTTAATCCCTGTACAACCATCGCAAGACTAAAGTCTTGCGATGGTTGTAGAGTGTATGGCCACCTTATGGGGACAGACAGAGTTTGCTGAAATTTAGAGAGGAGCATGCAAAGACCTAAATTAAGAAATATTTTTTAAATTCTTGTTAGATATGCCGTGTGAATAGGAACACACACCCAACATGTAGTGGGAGGTTTCTTCATTTTGATTGCAAAAGTGGAAATACACTTTAAGTGGTTAAAAAAAAAAAAAAAAAAAAGCATTTTTACTTCTGTCTGTGTTTTTGTTGGCGAGTTTCTTTAACTTCCTCTCTGGTGAAAATGTTTTCCCCGGGACAGCGAGTATGGTGGAATCTCTTTAACATAGGTTTTACTGTTGTCTGGTTCTAACAAGGGTTCTAACCATTCCCCATTTGATCCAAAATTTAAAATAAAACATTTGAGCTGGAGATACACTTTAAGCATGTATGGGTGTATGCGCTTTATAATGAAGAAGTGTAAAAAAGATCAAGGATGGAACTCCCTTCGCGATCTGCTAGACTACGAAAGTTAGATCCTGAACACTTGAGTTCCGCTTTAATGTTATTTCAAAACAAAAGGAGGTTATATGGGTTCAGCACGGAGGGTAAACATCAGCGGATTTATTATTAACCTGCAGAAAAGCTACGCTGTTTGCCGGGAACAGAAGGAACACAAAACACGTCACAGCTCGGCATAACTTCATACTATCACAATCTTTTTTCCATTCAGTACATTGTATGTGGAAATCAAGTGACTGCAGTCACATGGCGTTTGTTTTCACCTTACTCTGGAGGGAAGGGAACAAAAGTTCAGCTAAAAATAGTAATACATTATGAGCTAAGCCCACACTAGAAGCCAACCAGCACGCAAGCAGTCACCTATTATGAAATGATTAACAAGATCTCCAGCTCATCAAGGAATAGAGTTTCTGTCTGATCGCTTGAGGGAGCAAAAAGAGGGGTCTGAATGGCCGAACAACTGGACCTGATGTTGGTTGACTTACAAGTTTGTTTACAACGTGAAGGCACAGAATGTGCCAACTCCAGCACTCCACGGTGTACGCCACGGCTATTATAGGGCAGCTGACATGTACTTTATAGTCTTTGCAGCCTAGATGACTTGATTGGATATGAATTATTTTATATGACAAATAATGCAGTAGACAAGGTGAGGAGAATACACATGTAAGCTGCGAAAAATTTAGTTCGGTTATATCGTGATTAGGATCCGAAATTCAATTTGGTTCGTGTTTCAGATTCAAACAAAATCCGAATTTCGTTAGTTTCGGATGAGTTTACAAATATTTACAAGTACATATACACAAGTATATATACGGCGGCCCGCAGAAGTGGTTAAAACAAGAACACGGCTGCTGCAGAAGCCGTGTGCTTGGTGTCATGTTTAACAGCCAGGAATGGCTGTTAATGTATAAGCAATCTGGCGTCTAAACAGCCACCGGATCGTTGCGGCGCAGTGTGTGCGTGTGTCCGCCGTCGGCCTCCCCGGGCACCGCTGTCTCCGTGCGGCGCCTGGGACCAGCTCGGCGGATCTCCCCGCATTGATCGAAGAGAGATTAAGCGACTTCCAGCCATTGATCTCTCCTCCGATCACTGGACCCAGAAGTGATGTGTATTACATCACTTCCGGTGTTACTGGTTACATCTCCGGCTCTTAGTTCCAGGAGAAGAAGCTTGTGAAGCAGATATCTGCTTCCTCAGCTTCTTTGGGGTCCCTGGGTGACATTAAAGTCCCCTATGTGAATACACATACACACGCAAACACCCGTCGGTGCACCTATGTGCGAAAACGACAATTGCTCTATACATGTTACA